GAGAATTTCACCTCTGACAATTAAATACTAATGCCCCCAAAACCCCAAAACCCCAGAATATTCTCTTTAAAAAAATGTAATATCATAAATTGATTAATCTTAAATCATGAGTGGTTAAAATAAAATGGATAACAATACTCTGCTTTTGTTTACCAGAGCTTAAAAGGTTAAGGAACTTTCAAATCTATCTAGATTCATATTTTATGCAACTAGTAGAGTACCATAGGATCCTGCCTTTCTGAATAATTTAATTCTTCCAGAAGAAGAAATAGCCAAAGTAAATAAAGATATACTTTTATGTTTGTTTTCAGGCATTTTAATTACTAAGTATTGATAGTAATAACTAGAAAATGAACATCGATATAAGGAATTAGTCAGATTGCGATGCTATTGATGATTTATATGGAGAATATCCATATCTAGTGCATAATGACTCATATATAGCTAGATAGAACATCTTAAATTTCTGCAAAGAAATGACAAAAATCAATTAAAAGATCACTCTAAGCTTAGAAGATAAAAATAACATTGAGCAACTAGAGATTTTGCTTGTAAATTAACTCCATTTGATCACTGTAAGTTAATATTTTGATTGTTATACTAATGTAATAGAAATTAACATACCACGAGGCAGAGTTAGATGAAAGAAACCAGCTAATGTTCTACTTCTTACATCCTTTTACTGCATTCAGTAATCTTATAGAATTTGGGTATTTGAAGAAATATGCGACTGAGATCCATAATTTACACTCTAAGGTCCATAGAATAGATCAAGCAAAACAAATTCATGAAAAGTTATCATTCTTACTAGCTGATAAGAGAACTTTCTTCGATTAGCCTCAGGAGGAATTTAAGTAAGGCAGGTAAGTAAAATTCTAGTAATTAACATGACAATAGATAAAATATTTCCAAATCTTAAGTAGTGAATAATAACCGCTTGAGTTATTTAAATGATGATGAGAATCCTCTTTTTTCACAAGACTTTAATGGAAATAACAAACTTTTTGAAGATAGAAAGGAAGAGGAAGATGAATAAGACTAAGATCATTAGAGATAGATATAGATAACATCTCTAGATATAGTAGCTTATGCTTACTTGAAGGAGGAGCTGACGAATATACCAGATAGCCCTTAGGTAACACCTGCATATTTTTGAACTATTTTGACTATTAGGTTATTTAAATGAAGGAATCTTACTAAAATCTTGTTGAATTTGTGCATAAACTTGATATATTTTTCGCATCTATTAAGCAAGGCAGAGTAAGTGTTGAAAAGCATAATATTTTGAGATGGAATACTGATTATGAAACAGAAAAAAGGCTAGTGAACTCATTGTAAAATTAATGTTTGCTAAATCTTTATAGCCTTTAAAAATCTGCTTTTGTTAACAAGGCTCAAAACAAATAGAAAAAATTGTCTGCTAAAAAGGGATTTGGCTAAGAGGAGAAAGAGAGAGAAGAGAAAAATTAAAGTTAAGAATAACTATAAAAGAAATAGGAAGAGATTGAAAAGGTAAGAAATGTATACATATCAGTAATAGCAGGAACAATATTCTACTATCTAAATTTTGCTCCAAATCCATTTAAGAAATGATATGCATTATCTATTAAATTGATAAAAACTCTTATTTTTATGATTAATTATAAACAATGGGGTTTTGGGGTTTTGGGGTTTTGGGG